TCAGCCAGGGACATGATGTCTAATCAATGTTCATGAAGTATTTAGTTATTTGCAAAAAGGAATGTCCATTTGAAAGTTTGTCTGTTTCTTCTGATTAAACCATCCAGTCTAATTAAATATATTATTCCTCATCACATTAATTGCTCTCCTCATAGAACACATACCAGCAATAGTTATAAGCAGCACTGCAGACTTTCAGTGGAACACTAGAATAATGTTATAAGCAGCACTGCAGACTTTCAGGGGAACACTAGAATAATCTTCTAATAAGATTCTAAAGATTTGGCTGTTACCATGAAAGCAAGGGGTTCAGACAGACATTATGGACAAGTAATTCTGTCTTGCTTTCTTTATGAGTCCAGCAATTTAGATAAATTTGTAGGTAATAAATTTGTTCTGGAATCCTTTTTGTGTTCAGTGGATTTCAGACTTGCTCCATTACTGGATGCTTTTGGTGTCCTTTTACTGTGCTAGAAGATATTAGCAACAAATGACTGTATGTGACATCCTTTAAAATATCCCAAGCCTATGCACTAGTGAATATTTAGTCTCTTATCCTGTCCATAAAACCACAGAAAAGGTATAGGTTGATGCTGTAATCATGATGCTTTCTTTCTGGGACATGTGCTTCATTTGGTGAGCAATTTTTCAAGGGCAGAGTATGTAATCCATTAAAGGACACAAAATATGATATGATAAATTGTGCAGACTAAAAGTTAAGACTCAGATTAGCCTAAGGCCATGGGTCAGATAAGGCCATGCTGAACTGAACTGAACTGCTGGGTCCAGAAGAGCAGCACAAATTTGGCACAGTTCTGCCAAATTTTAGTTGCCATTATTCTCCCTATTGGAGTATTTTTAGTGTAGAATCATGATTTATCAATCCAGCAGATATTTATCACCCTAAAGCAGATCATTTCCAACTCTTTGAAAATGAACTTGTCTTTGAACATCTGTTCTGGGCAACCTCAGCCAATTCTTTTGTCCATGCACTACTCCTAGAGCATTTGTGGAATAAATTCAGTAGAAATTAATACAAGTGTAAATGAATGCAGTGCAAACTGTTAATTTTTGTTTGTAAATTTGTCAGGTCTGCTAGGAAACATTACCAAAGGACACAGACAGGGAGAGACCTTCAGCTCTGCAGAGCTAAGTCCTCCTTTAGTTAAGTTGACTTAAGCCTGGAAGTTTTGATGCAATAGCTTGGAATTTCAGTATCTCAAGCAAAGACTCATGTACTGATCTATGCATTTTACATCTTCCCTAATCATTAGTAAGCTTCTTGCACAACATGTTTTCTCCCCTCGATTAAAGTCATATTTATTAAGTTCACAGAAAGAAGCCCAAAGCTGCTCTGTGATGCTGCTTTAGAAAGACTTGGCCGACACTGCACATGGGAAAAGCTTTGATATACTGATTGAATAACTTGCTTTAGCTGAGTCTCATTTTGACCATTTGCTGGCAGCTGAGGAAGGTGCTGACATTGCTGGGTGCCCCCAGGTCCTGCAGCACTGCACACTGCAGGAAGGCAACATTTCCTGCCTGAAGCTTCTCATCGCCTCGTGCACCCTCCCGTGTCTCAGGCTCTTCCTTCCTTTCTCTTTTCTCAACAACCATCCGAAAAACTAATAAATAATTATGATTTTTATAAAGCTGCATTTTAATTAAAAGAAGAGCTGTCTTGTAAAATGCCAATAAATTGAAAATAGATTCTTATCATTTACTCAGTTCAAATTTCTTCTTGATTTTCCCTTCTGCTAAATCACTGAAATCAGTGGAATTGTTCTATCTGATTTCCTTCAACTTTTGACCAAAGACTTTTTCTTAAGCAAAACACTCTGGATTTGTCAAAGGATGTTAAAAGTCACATGATGTAAAAGTAGTTGCTTTGCTGAATCAGTCATACAATGGATTAATATTTCTACATTAATTTTTAAAGTCAAGACAAGCAGTTCGAGTAGAGATCACCTGAGCAGCACAAGAGAAAGTAGGTTGTTTCTTTAATGGCAATATTTAGATACCTCATTTGTTAAGTACACTGCTGTTGCACAACACAAAACTGCAAGATCAAAATATGCAGCCAAGTTTACTTACAGGTAGAAAGAATCATGTCTGGTCATCTGTTTGTATTCAAATGAAAATGAAAACCTCTCTTCATCAGCTGTGCCAGTAAAACAGCCCGAGCTGAGCTCTTCACTCTGATATGAAACATGGCAAACCACAAATATTGCTAGACCACGCCTACTTACCCTTTATATATTTAAAAAAAAAATCCCCAAACAGACTAGAAGGAGAAAGAAGTGTCTGCTTTCTAGTATCAAACATTTTATAGAAAAAAAATGTTATTAAACTGTAATCAATAGGTCTAAGTGTTTCATTAAAAAAAGCAAACAAGCAGATGTAAGTCACAGCATTTGATTCTGTTCAGTTGGATTTTTGAGCCCAACACTGGAAAAAAAAATCAGTTATAATAAAAAAGGGAGGACTGAAGTTGCTTAACTGTGAGTGAGCTCATTCAGAAGAAAGGGTGGTACAGCACTTCAAGCTGCCTTTGAGAACATCAGGAGAGTCAGCAACACAGCTTCCACCAAAGGTGTTCTGATCCTTTCTAAAATTAACCAGCTAAGGCTACATTCAACTAAAAAAATGCATTCATTAAGAAACTGGGTGCCTCAGAGTTCTTGACATCCTAAGGATAACTGTGAGTGAGCTCATTCAGAAGAAAGGGTGGTACAGCACTTCAAGCTGCCTTTGAGAACATCAGGAGAGTCAGCAACACAGCTTCCACCAAAGGTGTTCTGATCCTTTCTAAAATTAACCAGCTAAGGCTACATTCAACTAAAAAAATGCATTCATTAAGAAACTGGGTGCCTCAGAGTTCTTGACATCCTAAGGAAGTATCAGACATTAAGAAACTGGGTGCCTCAGAGTTCCTGACGTCCTAAGGGAGTATCAGACCCAACAGCAGATATGCAGAAATTAGCCTCGGATACTGCGAAGAAGCAGGTCAAGGGGTTGGATTCAAAGCAACCACCTGACCGGGAAAACTGCTACCAAAAGTCCACACAGTTAGGGTGTGTTTTATCACACAAATTAGGGATAAATATCTAATTATTGCAAAGAAACAGGCTTAAGGTTCACTGGAAACTATCAATCTCCTGATTGTCCTATGCTTCATTTGTGTTGTAAGGGAGACAGTATGTAGTACTACAGATTTTCTCATTGTGTGTTGTTGAAAGTGTTGGCAACACCATACTTTGCAGGGTCTCCATGGACAAAGTGGGGTTCAAAGGATCAGTTAGGGAAGGAAAGATGAGCTTGGTTTACCTTAAATCTTCCACATTGCTTTTTCTACTACAGGTAGAAAACCCTGAATTTTCCCTTTTAATAATACATGCTGTTGGTTTTAAATGGAGTGTGGTTTGGACTCAACAATTTGACAGGTTGGTGAGCATAGTTGGAATAATCTACTGAGACTTTGTCGTTAAGAAAAAGGAAATAGGCATTTAAGCCTTTTCTGACAGCCTGTAACTTTTCAATGGAATAGCATGAGGAAAGGAAAACATTTCTTCCAAGAAAGAGGAGGCTTACTTCTTTAGAAGATAAAGGTGGAGGCAAAGCAGATCTAAACATCTCCAAAACCGATTACAAAAATACTCAAATGCAAGAACGATAGAATGCATTAAGCTAACTGTGGTTACTTTTAATAATTTGATTGGAAATAAAATTTCACCATACTTCTGAAGACTTGCAAAAAAATTTAAAGGTTTTTGTGCAGTATATTTGCTATTACATGTGGCACAAGAGCACAAGTAACAAAAGAAAAAGAAAACATGTAATAGAGCTACTCAGCATGTAACTTCTAAAAGAGTTCAGGAATGTCTGCACTGAACATTTCATCATGGCCAAATTAATTTAAATATATATTCATTCTATCATGTATATATTTAGTATAGAGTCTGTATACACACAGAAATATATATATATTATATGTATTTTAGTCCATATATATACACTATCATAATGCCATATTCATATGGACAATGAGTTTGACTTACTATGCACTGATAGTAAATTATTGGCTACAAATTAGTTGGTTCCAAACAGTAGTTAACATTCAGTTTATTTACACACACATGTAGTATGACATTTTCTGTTATGAACAGAAAGGTAGATCACTGTATGTACAGACGACAGACAGAAAGAGGAGCTCTCCTCAAACACACTTGAGAATTTACTTTCTTTCATTTACAATCCCATATAGAGTTGTGTATTTAAGTGAAGGTAGGACAAATTTGTGCTTGAACAAGACAAAACTCCCACTTTATATAAATAAATCCATTGAATTCATGTATTTACAGTACATACAGCATATAAATTATTTTATAATCAAAAACATGGTACTATGTTACACTGACAGACAGTTGTGCTGAATCTTGGACTTATTTTTCATTAGTAACATCAAGACTAACCGTGGGAGGTCTCTGGTTGACCAAACAGCTCAGAATGACTTTGGGCATATCATGGCTCAGTTCTGAAGCAAAGCTTTTAGAGTGTTACACTAAAGTGATGACTGTGCTGGCAACAACCAGCAAATATGCAAATGAAAGAGGCACATTTTGTCTTCCTAATGTGTCATAAAACACCCATCAACTGAGAAAAATGTTTCTGGAGAATCTCTGGAAACATTTCAATGTCAGTCAATAGCCATTTATAGATACCTTCCATTTTTAAGCATGCAAATCACTACTAATACTACTGCCCATGTGAAGAGAAACTCAGAAACATGGGCTGTATTTACATGAACCCAACCTGCTAAACACAAATGAGGCTCCTGGCCTTTGGCCACGTTTTCTCCCTCCATAAAGAGCTCAACTTGCCAGCTATGTAATGCTGACTTTTCAGAGAAAACAGAGACTGCTAATATGGCTGAAGATCCTGTGCTCATTTCACAATGACATGTAAATGTCCCATTGTCCTGGAGTGGTTCAGGTGCCTCAGGTTCTCCACATTGCTTAGCAGCACTCAGAAGCTTACAGGATCATGCTTTTAAAAAGAAATGGTGAAGCCACATCTCTGGAAAGCAGCTTCTTTCCTGTGCTTGTGTTGCTGTTGTCTTTTTTCAGAAAGCATCTTCACCCTCTGCAATGTCAATGATTGCATGAAGCAGCTCCTCAAAGGTTGGGCGTCCCTCTGGTTTCTAAAAGAAAAAGCATCCACAGCTCTGATCAGAAATCAATCAAAGGTTGGGCGTCCCTCTGGTTTCTGAAAGAAAAAGCAACCACAGCTCTGATCAGAAATCAGTAAGGTTGATGATTTTGATAAATTATTGGTTAGGATATAATTCTGTGGTAATGAATTTACCATTTCATTAGATACGAGATACAAAAATATTTCCTGGTCTGGATTTTGGATGTCACTTAATTTTAATAAGCATAACCTTTTCTTCATGCTTTGAAAAAACATAAATAGCTGTTGCTGGACCACATTCTTCATATAATTCTTTATTTTGCATAGTTCTACACCTTTTTTATTTTTCCTGCCCCATTCTCACCCTTCCCCAGTGACCTGCTCTAATCTTTTTTATGCAAGTTATTTATGGTCCTAAGAATTCTGAGTGTCATTCTTTTACATGCCTCTTTTACATCAGCATTATTTTTTGATCTCTAAAATGAGACTGTCACAGGCTTACACAAAGGCATCCTTCACCTACACTATTTTCCATACAGTTCCTTACCTGTTACATCCTCCTGTTTCATTTATTTAAAATTTGAGTCACCATCCCTGGAAGCATTTAAAAGACATGTAGATGTAGCACCTAGGGACATGGTTTAAGGGTGAACTTGGCAGTGCTGGGTTAATTGTTGGACTCGATGATCTTAAAAGGTCTTTTTCAAGGTAAATGGTTCTATGACTGTGGCAATACACTGAGGTAGTCTCTTTGCTGACCTTGCTGACACAGTTAGTTTAGCATCTCCTGAATCTCTGGATAACTTTTCCTCCATTTATTTACATTTAGATTTGTATCACCTGATGAATTTTGAAGCCTCAGTATTCATTTCACTCTACAAACCATTAATAAATTTATTACACGAGGACTAAGGTACCTACAGTTCATTTATTTCATTACAAAGATTGACAGAATCTTGCCTTTACTTGTGCTCCATTTGTGATTTGCAAAGATTCTTTCTCTCCCACATGATGACTGCTTAGATTTTAATACTAATAACCCCTGCTGAAATCAACAAATTTTTAAGCAATTTGTTGATGTTCATAAGTCCTATAAATACATATAAATATTCAAAGATCATTAACAAATAAATTATCATTGTCTTCCTGGTAATTTATTATTTCATTTTAAGGACCATTTCAAGTAGATTGTCAACTCCAAACAAAATTTTATGCTCTGTAGTTTCCTGGCTTCTTTGAATAGCTTTTTTAAACTACAGACATACATGTCATTCCACAACCCTGCAGGGCATTGTTCTTTTTAATGTATTTTTTGCTGCATAAACCAACTGGTTTATAAGTTTTAGATACCCACTAGTTGGTTTGATAAGTTATTGCTCTCTATGCCAGCACCTTCTTCTCCAAGACAAGCGTCAGACAGTCTGTCAACTTTATTACTGGAAAAGAGCTGTTTCTCAGTAGCACACCCTGTGGCAAAGACTAACTGGAAAGAAAACTGAAAACAACCTCTCTGGGCAATCTGTTCCAGTGTGTGGTCACCCACACAGTAAAGAAGTTCGTCCTCATATTCAGGTGGAACTTTCTGTGCCTCAGTTTCTGCCCGTTGCCTCTTGTCCTATTGCTTGGCACCAGCGAGAAGAGTCTGGCTCCATCCTATTGATTCCTGCCCTTTAGATACTTACAGTCATTAATGATGCCCGTTTCATTCCTCTCTTCTCAAGGCTGAACAAGCCCAGCTCCCTCAGTCTTTCCTCATAAGAGAGATTCTCATGTCCCCTAATCATCTTTGCGCCCCCCTCGCTGGACCTGCTCCAGGAGCTCCATGTCTCCCCTGTACTGAGGAGCCCAGAATTGGACACCCCTCACCAGGGCTGAGTAGAGGGGCAGAATCACCTCCCTCAACCTGCTGGTAATGCTCCTCCTAATGCATCTTAGGATACCATTGGCCTCCTTGGCTACAAGGGCACTCTGCTGGCTCATGGACAGCTTGTTGTCCACCACGATCCTGACGTCCTTCTCTACAGATCTACTTTCCAGCAGGTCATTCCCCAGCCTGTACTGGTGCCTGGGGTTATTCTTTCCCAGCTGCAGGATCCTGCATTTCACTTGGTTGAATCATGTAGCTCTTTACATTCTTGGTTTTCTGAGTTACTCTCTCAAAAGTAGAGACAGCTCATTAAACATGTCTATCCACTTAGAGACTTTCTGTTTTACTATGACAAAATCTGTTTTATACAGATTTAGTTTAGATAGTATTAAATTTGATTTTGCTGCCCCTTTGCCCTCCATGAAAACTGTAAAGTCAATATCTTTCTGGGTTAGGACAATTAACAGTACAGTAGGCTTATATCTTTCTTTATAAACCTTAGGATTTGTATTTATGTTCAACTGCAAGTTAATCTTTATTTTCTACATAATTTATTAGCAAGTAATGAAGTATTCCTTTAAAAATACTTACAGTCATTCTACCATGGCTCTATAAAGCAATACAAAATCAGATTCTCCACCTTTGGGCCTTTCTGACTGAAGCTTTTTTGCTAGCAGTATTTGTATGCAGATATAATCACAACCAGCACAGATTTAGCAATTATTTAATTTTGTTACTAGATGCCTTTGCATACTTAATCTGACAGTTCATTTATTTCATAGAAATTTCTTCAGCATTTTTCCTTATCACAGCTCTAGTTGAGCTGCAAACCAGGAGATCTTCATTTTAGGAATAAACATATAAATAGCTGAGAGAGCTGGATACACTCAGAATGCTGCTCTAGAGAACATTAACTGCTGTTGCTAAATTGATCTTTATTTCAAGAGACAAAAATTTAAAATTATATACCTCCTGCCAGCACATCATCATCATTTCATACACCTGCTTACAGGCTAGTTTGGGCCGATACAAACGATGTCCTTGGCTAACCATCGTTACCACTTCATAGTTGGAGCTTTTTTCAAAGGGCATTTTTCCTTCTGTAAATACTTCCCACATTAAAACACCTGAAAAGAAAAGAAGAAAACAACTTCTTAAAAATGTGTGGTTACTTTGATCCCTGGACTCTAGATTTCTGATAGATAAATAGTTTGAGATCCATATTCTAGAAATTGTTCACACGTGTCGTTGCTGAAAACATCTTACATCTAACTCTTTAACAAATAACAGTACTGACAATCTAAGAACAGCACTAAATGTCTGTGGAACTTTATCCAACCATAAAACTGTGGCAAATAGTTTCTCTGAGCTTCTTCTCACATGTCTGAATCCTTCCCAATAATCAGAGCTTAACTGCTATTGATAACATGTAAAAACGGTCCTTTTTTTCCATTAGGAATGTCTTACCGAACGACCAGACATCTGACTTGCTGCTGAATCGGCTATAATTAAACACTTCTGGGGGACACCATTTCACAGGAAATTTAGCCCCTGAGGAGCTTGTGTATTGGTCATCGAGCACATACCTAAAAAAACCAACCAAACAAATAAAACATCCTTCAGTCAAACCTGCAAATTATCATTTCAACTTGGATAAGAGTATTAGCAGCTCATATTGCCACCTAATGGCCATGACCCTCAGCACCACACGATAAAAATAGCTTTCCTGGGGCTGTACTAAGGTTTCCATCAAAGGTTACAGTCAAGACACTGTTCATTTTTCACATTACCTCCGAGTCCTTTCTTGTGATTTATTAGCTACACAACACAGGTCTAGGCCACCTGCAAGTTAAACATCTGTATTATGAGAGAAAATGATGCAAGAGCATACATTTCTTGTTCTCTTTTTCACTGGCCAGCCTGAGTTCAGGTGACAGGGGACAGGCAAGCTCAGCAGCACAGAGAGGTGGCAAAACCCAAGAGCATGGTCAGACTATGGTGCTATAACACCCTCCTTGGAAGAGCTGCTCCCCACCCCCACCTCACCCACACATCACCCATCTGATGTGGCACCTGCAGGTGCTAACAGGGCAGGAAATTATTCCCTCTCCAGATCTTAGCACCTCCCAGCCCTTCAGCTAGCACGAGGCAACTCTGAACCATCTACTGCAAGGGGATCCTAAACTCACTGAACCACCTCTTTCTAACATTTATTTACCAAAATACAGATTAACAGATTACAGATCTATGCAACATGAGCTCTGTTGTCTGAGACACAAGCTCTAATATTACTTTTTTAAAATGTAAAGAAATCAACACATTACCACAGAACTAACAAGCTTTAAAGGCACTAGGGGCCGAGGACCAAAATCTGTTCCCTAGAGAGGTCAAAAATTATCATTTTTGTACGTAATTTTTCTTGGCCCATGTTGCCTTTGGGCTAAGTACAAGTGTTAGATGAATTTTCCAATTCCCCACAAATATGTTTTAATACTCAGACATACCTTGTCATTCCAAAATCCGACACTTTGACCACTCCTGAGTCACTCACCAAGCAGTTCCTGGCAGCCTGCAAAGGGAATGGTTAGAGTTAGATGAAAAACTTACAGTCTCTTGCAGAAAAATTATAAAAATCTAATCAGGACTTTGCCCTCATTGCTTAGCAAGTTCATCTGTTTACCAAGGGCAGTGGTGCATTCTCATTATAAAAGGTACATGTGAATTTTCTCTTGATAATGCTATTTTGACAACTAAATCATTTTATTAAAAAGAAACAGAAAAAAATTATCATCTCAAGGGATTCATGAGTGGTGAAAATTGCACCAATACAGAATGGAGAGAGGTTATTACATCAGCAAAAATAGCTACTAACTCTTTATAAAATTTGAGAGAGATTTTATTCTGCTTTCTTGGGAGAGAAAAACCCAAGGAGCCAACTTCAGCCACTTGAAATTTTCTGCAAGAACAAAAGAGGTTACTTACAAACAAGGTGTCTCAGAAAGGAATACAGAAGTTCAAAAATCAAAAATTCAGAGAGGAGTGTATTGCCTAATGGGATTTACCAAGTCTCTGTGGATAAAGCTGTTTCTCTCCAGGTACTCCATTCCCTCACATACATCTTGGCACACGGTGAGCAGGATGTCTTTACTCAAAACTCCTCTCTTTTGTCTCAGGTAGTTGAGAAGGCAGCCATGCTCCATGAACTCTGTCACGATGTAAATGGGTCTCTGTTGTGTGCACACACCATACAGCTGAACTAATTTAGGATGCGTTAACTTCCTGAAAAGATTGACATGTCATTATTACTTCCTCCACCCAGTGCTAGTCCTCTATCCCACAAAACTGCAAAAATAACCACCTACCCCAAGGGTTTTATTTATCAGTAGACAGCGTCAAAGGCATAGAACAGGAAATAAAAGTGCCAAGCACACAACTCACATCATTACTTTAGCTTCCTCAATGAAATCCTCTTCATACATCGCACCTTCCCGAATTGCCTTGATGGCCACTTTGTACTGTGCCCTCCACTTCCCAAGGCGCACTACCCCGAACAGCCCACTCCCCAGTTCACGCATGAACGTCAGTTCCGAGGGATTGATTTCCCATTTCTCTATAAAACAAAAATTCAGGAACGGTTAAGGAACCTACTGAACTGGTAAGTGATAAGGAAGAGGAAAGGGAAACCGGATTAGCAGCAAATTAAAGAATTTAGGGAGAAAATGACTTAGAATTAACTTGGAAATTGAACATTTCTATACCTCACAAACCAACCAAACTTTTAAGTAGATGGGACCTTTAAGCAACTCCTGACCAACACTGAAGTCAAAATTCAAACTTTCCTGAGGCTAGTAATTACATACTGATATTATCAGATTTGATTTCAACAAGCTGCCACCATAGAAAATTGTGCCAATACATAGAAGATGTGCACATCACTTGATGTGCCACGCTTTAAAAATGCTTATTTCAAATTTATATTTTTAAAAAGCAACCCCTCCACAAAGATCAAAGGGCAAAGGTTGAGTCAGAAGTCTGGAGGCTACAAAGGAGTCAAATGCACAGCTCTTTAATCAGGCAGAGCTCAAGGTACCCACAGCAGCATGGAGGAAAATACTGAACATCCCTAGAGCACCAGTGACACATTCTGCCTCTCCTCCTGGCTGCACTTGGCACCACACACCTACCATCAGCCATGGTACCTTGGCATGCTGATACTCTGTGCAATGGTCTTGAAGTTACAGCTTGGACAAGTGTAAGTTAGTATAGCCAATCACAGTACAGAATTAGATCTTTTCAAGACTTTTAGAAAATATTGTGGCATCTTAACATACATAAAATCATGGGTGAGACACTGGAACAGGTCACTCAGGGAAGTGGTGGCTGCCCCAACCCTGGCAGTGTTCAAGGCCAGGTTGGATAAAGCCTTGAGCATCCTGGTCTAGTGGGGAGTGGACCCTGCCAAGGGCAGGGAAGGTTGGGACTAGATGATCTGTGAGGTCAATTCCAAACCCTAAAATTCTACAATTCTGTGATAAGAAAAGACACGTGTAGATGAACATAACATGCACTCACCATAGCTGAATCCTGCCGTTGTTGGTGCTGTTGTCTTCTTTGGGGTCACTGGGTAACGCAGCCTGGTAACGAGACCTGAGGTTCAATGATAATTCAAGAGACACAGTTTACTTCTGAAATAGCACCAGGCAGCAACTCAGCCACTTGTTCACTGCAGACTCCAACACTGATTAACAATCAGCTTATTGTTCTGTACAGCTTTGACCATATTTTCTGCTTTGTCTTGACTATTCAAAGTGACGGTGAGAGGTACACAGGAGCACTCACTACATCTAACTTGTTGCATCTTCTTTACTGGTGAGAGATGGATATGGATATATACGTATATATTTGTGCTTTAGAATTATGCTGGCACCAAAAAAGGCTGAGGACACCTTTATTAATTCAGATCAGGAAGATTATCTAAACCTCACAATGTTACTCGATCAGTTCTGTTTCACACATATAAATCCCACCAGTTTCACATAAGGATTTTACATGCTGCAAGTTAGCTGAATATTCTCCTAAATATCTTGTCAGAATTGACACAACAAAAGAAATGAAGCAAGAAAAATCTGTAGAAAAATCAGTTATAATAAATGAAAGGTGGGGTTATGTTTTGGGGGCATATTTTCCAGAAGGGCATTTTCCAGAATATCATCAGGAAATTCTGGGTCATCTGAGCTTGATATACAGATCTGGAAACTATAGTTCATGAGGGAAATTTATACACAGACCAGACTTAGAAAAAACAATGCAGTATATTAGTATATGTGCCTTGAACCTGACTCCTAAATTCTCCCCATTCCACCATACAGTGGGCAGACACCAGCATCAACCATCAGCTATAGAGCTGAAGTGGAATAGGGATTTCCTGAATAGCACATTATTGTTCTCCCCATCTGTTTGCAATATGGGAAGGTTAGACCATTTTAAGTGGCAGTGCCCAGCAGGTTAAAAGTTAGAGCCTCTGGGGAAGTACCATCCCTACCCATCTGCAGTGTGTTACAGAAACCTGATAGAGACACTATGTGGAGCTAAGTGAATAATTTTTCCTGACTTGATACAGCTATTCCTCTGTTACTCTGGGGACAGAAACATATTTATACATAAATTTTTTTTTTACATAAAACCTTTCAAATTATTGTCTGTATTGAAATAATGTGAAAATGCAGTGTCTCATGACTTCCCTGAGAAAGAAGGATCTATAAAAGCTTAAAAACTTTCATTAAAACTCTAAAATGTTTCATGCTTCTTTTCAAATCAATCCTAAGTGACAGAAAAAAATCCAGTCCATCTACCTGCTGCATTATGTTTGTGATACTCTATTATTTCTGGAATGGAGTTAAAAAGATGTTTTTCTGCGAGGTAGTACTGCTTTGGTGATGTCACTGTTTCTTTTATATGGTAGTGTCTTATTCCTGATGAACCTTCCCTGAAAAAACAGTGACAACAATAACAATTAGTAATAATACATTGGCATTTGTTGTGAATTTTTTAAGAGGAGCACATTGACTAGGAAAAGGAAACTGAAAGGGCCAGTGCAGGCACCCAATGTCACATGCTTTGGAAACAGAGCAGCTTGAATATCAAGCATCCCCAAGCACTGGTGACTTGCCTTCATCTCAGTGCTCAAACCAAGTTGAAGATTAACCCAGAAAAGGTTAATTTTCAGCCCAGCGAGCTCCTCAGTCCAGCTCACACACTCTGACACAAACACAGGCTGGCAGGAGGCAAGAGACCAAATGGGGTGGGAGAGCAAAACATCCTTCTTTGAGTGGTGGTTAGGGTCTACACCGAATTAAACCAAATGTAACCTCACCATGGAGTTGAGAAGTTAATTTTAATCACCCATCTCTTCTATCACAGCAGCCCTTGTTCCTTTATTGAGCTCTTTCCTGGGCTTTCCCCCAGACAATGGAGTTGGATACAGACACAAACAGATTTGGACAAGACAAGGTGTGCAGAGCAGGCACAGACACTCACCCTCCAAATTTTGTATAAAGAGAAACTGTATACAGGCCAGGCTGGCTGGAGTCTCTCACCACAAAACCACCTTCTTTATCCTAAAACAGAAGCACATTGACAGTTTTGTACAAGTGGTTTTAATCTACAGGAGTCTTCTACTTGTTCTAGGATATGTGTTTGCCAAAATAAGGCTCTGCTTTAACAAAACAGTTGTGCTCACCTCATTTCTGAGGAGCTGCTCTGCCTTGCTTCTGTTCAGGTTTCGGCTGTACCACCTGCAACACAACATCAGTAAATAAAACTTCTCTGCAGTGCATCATTTACCTAAAATGCCTGAAGCAAGCTATTATGAAACTACACATTTAGTAATTTTATGCTAAACAAAGATAAAGAACTGAACCTTTACAAATGTGCAAAAATCAGTTTCCATTACACTCTGCAGTAGCCATAAAAATGCCCTGAAACAAATCCAAGGAGATCCCACAGAAGCCAATAAAGCTCACAGAACTGATCTAAGTTTTCAGGGAAAAACATTTCTCAAGCACACAGAGGCTGATGGCAGTAGTCCCTCTGAATGGCAATGGGGAGCACACTGGTCAAGCCACCTGTGGAGCTGACTGCACAGCTCTGAGCTTCCAGGGAGGACACACCTAGCAAAGAGGAGGCTGAAATGATGAATTGTCAACTGCTGCACATCCCCAGGCTCTGTGCTGCACAGGCAGGTTAAAGCAGCCACAGAGGCACCAACATTTGAGCCAGTCGAAGAGAATAATAGAGAAAGTTAAAAGAGGCAGTTTGCAAATGGTGTGGTGCAATCGTTTTGAGCTCTGCTGTCACAGCAGTTACTGAGCAGGGAAGTGGCACAGAAGCCTTTAATCAGATTGTGCCTGTTCTGGAGATAGTGGTTTCTTGCAGTTGGTAGATGACCTGGACTAAAGCTCCCTGGATTGCATGGTGACTCACAACTGCAGCCCCAAGGTGGTAAAAGCACAAAGTGGCTGAACCAGATAAGGCAGCCCAGTTCCTTCCTTCCCTTTCTGCCAGCCCTGCAGCCCAGCCCAGAGCAGAGCAGAGCTCTTAGCAAGTCTCTAAAATGAGAAAGCAACAAAGAATTCACTCTAGTAAAGCTGAAGGTAAAATCCCAGATTAAATTCTGACTTCTGTCAAAACACAGCAGTAGGAGCCATACACAACTGGGAGCAGAGTTTTGGAGATACTAATATAGTTTCATAAACTGGTTTTAATTATTATTTCCTTACAGCTCCATTTTATTTAAAAGTCATTAAATATGTTTTAGATTCTCAGGCACAACAGTTTATTCTGTACTGACATCTGAAGAGCAAGAACAATAGGCTTGGACACTACAGTGTTAAATTTTACCCTAATATTCTTAAATAAGTACTCCATGATTAAATATCAACTAGAAAAAGCATTTTTTTAAAAAAGCTAGCTATTTACAGCTGTTAAGTTACATGCGTATCCTGAGACTTAAAATACAACCAATTATGTATTTTCTTGAAAATTAGAGCTGCCTTCCAAAATCTCCAATCTGTTATGTTTGCTTGGAATGATTTCCACTGTTTTCTGCTCCACTATCTTACTGCCACACACTTGGGATAGACACATCTAATAGACACATTTGAAGATAGACACATTTAATATTAAAAAGAACATTCATCACACTTATATTGGGTAATTTTCCTTTGAAGTTTCCTGTTGTCTATCAGAGATTTGGAGGGAGTTTTTTCCTTAATAGTGATAGCCTAAATACTACATGCCTGATGGCCATCTCACTGACTTGACCCTACATTATAAATCACAACATAATCAACGAGAAGAATCTGAAAAAATATACATGCCTATTTCACTTGTTTAAATTTAATCTCTAATTACTACCAGATGTAAACAATTGCTTTCAAAATGTTAAAAATGCATTGTTGTTCTGAAAGAATAGGTTTCATTTTATGAGATTCCAAACTTTGATTCCAATAGTCACTTACTCATATTGATCAAGGTTGTTGGACTTCTTTCCTGTTACATAGTTGCTTGGAATATATCCTTGTTTCCTAAAAAATATATATAATAAATAATCTGAGTGAAAGCATGCCTAGAAGACAGTGTTTCATTCTGCTCATTAAGAGGTCCCTCAATGTAATTTATTTGTTACTGACACACCAACTGTACTACTGATTATGCAGAAACTAATTTTCTGCATCAGCATTCCCACATTAACTTTCCATGCCCCCAGAGAAGTGACATGGGCAGCAGAAGAGTCCAAGAAAACCAGCAGAAGGAGTGGAGAGTAACCCTCTGCTGCTCTCTCACTTCTGTGCTCAGAAGTCCCAGTCACTCACGGGAAATACATTTGGAGTCTGCCACAGCCTGATAACTTGCAATTACCCATAACATATGGCAAGAGGAACCAGATAAATATTGAAGTATGATAACTTTCATCTTCAAAACCGTAGGGAAAATATTTAATCCGGGGAATGTAAAGTTGTAGTCATTACTGCAACTCTCTCTCAACTCATTCAAAGATTGTCCCTAATGATCCAGCTATTAAATAAGATGATGATTATTCAAGTCAGGAAGTTGGACTCTGCTGAGCTGTGTGTTGACCATATTGGTCCCTAATGAGACATTCCCCAGGGAAGCAGGAGAACTGTACCAGTCTAGCAAGGCTTTACAGGATGGCCGATGCTTTAATTGGGAAACCACAAAGTCTGACAGGAAATGTAATTGGAAAAGCTTCCTGTTCTGCAGCTGTCTTTGCACTCAGGCCCTACAGGCTATCAAATGCTGCACTTTTAAAAGTTGGTTTCTATGTGGGAATATATGGATAAGATTTCAAAGTGGGGTCTAATGCAGTTATTCGTTGACACATAGTCAATATAAACTACTACAACCCAGAAACAGCTTTATGACCTTATAGCAGAAAATAAGAAACTCATTTTTACCCATATTTGTCTCTGGCCTTCCACCAGTGAATGTCATTCTTCTCAATCACCATATATTCTTCACCTTTCTCTAATCTTAAATCATGATGTTCTGTAGGCTCAAAGTCATACATTGCTACCACTATCTCCTCCTCTTCGTTGCCATTTTCTTCAACTGGAGGAACAGGTGGTGGAGGCCTTCGCTGAAAACAAGACAATATTATTATCATCCCACTCTACTCCATTTTTATACCCCACCCACCCTTACCCTCACACCAGTGCAAGCCAGCTGAGCATCCCAGAGGCAAAAGCTGGGCTAGTCCAGAGTTGCCCCAGGAGCAAGCTGTGGTGGCCCAGGGAGGCAGCAAATCAGGGGTGCTATCCATGGGGATGGCTCGTGCTGAAGCCCTGCAGCTGCCAGTAAAGGGCAAAGCCACATCTTCCACCAGCAGTACAGACAGAGCTAATGGATGCAGATAAATTTCAGTGGGTTTTTTTTCACCCTGAGATAGAGCATGATGCCCATTGACATGTGCAGAAATAGACCTTTGCTCCAGCGTGTGGAAAGAATCTCAGGAAATTTAAGCATCGTTTCAAAAAGCAGCAAGTGTCTATTCAATATTTCAAAGACTCTACCTACCACACTTTTTTCTGGCACCGGAGAGGCCAATCTCATTCCGTCTAGAAACAAAGCACAAGAGAGGATTTGTGCCTATCCATTTAGCTATAAATTTAATAATAAAAGGTTAACATTTCAGATAAGGTTTTAATTTCTTAACAAGCCTTTAGGATGGCTTAGGAATTCAGAAAGTAAAGACAACTCCAATAAAGCACTAGGAAAAAATGATTCAATATTCTTGCAAAATTGTCTTAAATCAGCCAGTAGGTTACACTGACCATAGATTTGGCAATGGCTGTGCCGTGCCAGAGCATGCCACAGAGATCCCTCAAACAGCCCTCAGATGCAGAAATTTATGAGAACTAAGAAGAAGATAGAGCTAAAAACAGTTATATTAACAGGAAGCAATGTTCTTGCCACCATGATGATCTAAAGGTGTTCTATTCACATATGCTCTTCTAAAAAATTAATACTCTCCCTGATCCTTGCTGTATTAAATAAGGCACAACAGTTTTAAGTATTTTTTTATTACATCTCTCATACCCCAAAGGTTTTTTTGATCCTGCATTGGGGTTTTTTCCACACTTAAAAGGTTGAGCTGTATGTCATGTTTTACATCTTCTGAATAAGACCGGCCATGAGCCACTGTTTACTCTTCAAGTCTTTTAATGCAACTAAATCCATGGATCTCCACTACAGCCATTTAAGGTGCTGACGTGAGAAATCATCAGGTACCACTGATTTCACTAGAGACAAGCAATGGCTCCATTTCTTTTCCTACTACTGAATTTTCCTTAAATCAAAGACTAAATTTATGCAGGACAATATTGCAGTGCTACAGCACTGCACGTACAGCACCACTGTTGAGTAAGCAGAACCTGCAATTTGGCTGCTGGAAGATGCACATGCCTATAGAAGTCACAGCTCATCCAGGTTCAGCATATGGATGTTTACAAACCTCTGAGAAAATTCAGTCCCATGTGAAATTCAGCAGTCTCAATGATTCCTTTCATCCTTCTCTAAACATTTTTTGAAGGACATTTTTATGGCTTTTCTGTTTTTTATAATGCTTGGAAATGAAGTAAACATTTTGACTTGCTTGAGGCACAGTATCAATGATTGACCCTGCTCTATAAATTTGCCTAATATCTCAGGCATTCAGGTGTGATGACAGTACATACAAAAAAGCAGAAAAACGTCAGAGCAACTTCATATGAAAACATATGTACTCACTGTTTTCAAAAAGACTGTATTTTTCACAGCCAGGTGCTAATTTTTCTGTCTGTCTGCAGCACTGATAAATTCCCTCTGTCCAGAATTTAGGATGATATTTTACCACTATATTGCTGTTGTTCTTTATTTCTACAAGAAGAAAAGGAGCATGCATTTAAAGACACCAAAACCAAAGTCTGCTGAGTAATTTTTAATAAATATTAAATATCTTTGACATGAGGCATAATCTTCTCTTGTCCTTACTTTAGCATTGCTTCTCTTAAGGACCTTCTTGCAAGTTTACATGGAGGTGATAGAATGATAGCAGAGGATGGTTTTAGGGCAATACATAACTTCAGCCCAGAAGGGAGTGCTATACTCCCCACCAGCCATCCCAGCAAGGGGTGGGTGCACTGGTGAACCCTGGTTGGGTGCACTCCCAACCCTGGGAGTTAAGTGCTCCTTGGGCTTGAGCTTTACCTTGCTTGGTCTTTTTTCTTTTGCCCAAGCTCTCTGCTCCCTCTCTGCTTCAGTTTTGACTGGACCGTGCCTTATCCTGGTCTTCTTCCAGAACAAGTAAGCTGGCAGCCCATTTTCCCTGTCTTCACCCTTTCACATTAAAATAAATCTTACTCTACATTGGGCTTGCTGAGTTTCAGAGGTCACTCCTTGCCCTGTGATCCCCAGCCCAGAAATCATTTCCTATTACTTTACAGAGCATCTGTAATCAATGTGAACATCTGACGGTGACAGAGAGCATTAGAAGGCTCATGGAAAACAAATCTTTACTCATTGTGATAGCAATTATCAGACTGCATCTCAGCAGAGATGCCTCCTATCATTTTACATCAGCTAAGGCTCACAGTGTTGTCTAGCTACAGCCAAACAAAACTTTTGAGTGATGCCATTAACTAGCCTGGCCAAACCTTTTGATGATTTACTCATTGTGCAAAAGCAGAGAGTCAAATTCTGATTGGAGCTGGACTTCACAAATCAAATTAGATCAGTCTGGGTGTTTGTTACTCCCAGTACCTGTTATTACCCCCTGTGTATACAAGTGATGAGATGGCCCAACAAAAAATTTAAATTGGTGGATATATGCAACAGAAGCTCTACCATTTTAACCCCCCAGTGGGATGGGGAGAGAACAGAAAGAGCAAGAGATAAAAACTTGTGGCTTGAGATAAAGAGAGTTTAATAACCAAAAGAAAGAAAAAAAAACCCAAAGGCAATGTAAAAAAAATCACTCATCATCTCCCACAAGCAGACCGATGACCACTCAGTCTCTAAGCAATGGCAAATATGGAAGCAAAAAACTCCAATCCCTGTCTTCTTCTAGCCCAGTTTTTATTGCTGAGCACAAGTTTATATGGCCTGGAATACCCCTTTGGTCAGCCAGGTCTGCTGCCCTGGCTGTGTCACCTCCCAGCCTCTTGCCCACTCCCACTTTACCTGCTAGAGGGGCAGGGAAGGAAAAAGGCAAAGCCTCCATGCTGTGCAAAAGCACTGCTCAGCAGCAATCACAACACTGGTATGTTTTCAACACTGTTTTGGCCACAAATCCAAAACATCACACCAAGTTAACTCCAACCTATCCAGACAGCTCAAGCAAAGGTATCTGCCTATGTCAGATGTTAAGCAAAAGCAATTCCCATTACCTTCTTTCAGGTTCCTCACCCACTGATCTCGACTTTGTGCACTTGGTGCAAAAATATAGAGAGTGTTAGCATCATATACAACCTGGAAGGGGGAAAAGAGATAATCAAAATTCATTCACCTTGTAATATTAATTAATTTCTTTCTCAGGAAACAGAGGAAACAGAACAAGACAAACGACTGTTACATTTGGCAAAATTAGTGTATTCAGGCACAAAATGCAGAAACTGATAAAGGTTATTAAGGTTTATTATTCACATACAATGCTTCCAGGAGAATAAGGAAGGATTTTGTAATGGGATACTATCTTGACAGCATTCCTTAAAAAGCTTGCTTCATGCTTTGCTTTGTTCATTCTTCACTGTGTGTTTTCTAAAAACAGTTTGATTTAATCACCAAAGCTATTTCATAATCAGTCATTTCATAACTCCCTGTGATTCTGTACTGCCCTAAGGTAATTCTTCCAGGTTTTTTTCTTCACTACTTGTATTGGCAGAAAGCAATTATTGCTCTGGGAGAAAAGGATCACAGTTCTCCCTCCAGCAATGGAATTTATCCTTGCTCCAAACATTCCCTCTATAGTAAGGAGGCACAGCATCCAACCCCCATATTTTTCTTTTTCCCCCTCTAAGCATTTTGTTTTCTGTGTTTATTTCCATTCAATTCACAATGGAAAAAAATGCAATAAGTCTTATCTTGATTTTCTTGTTCCTATATAGTTTAATAGTAATTAAATTTATTTTAATGTGAAAGAATGAAGATAGGGAAAATGGGCTGCCAGCTTAGTTATTCTGGAAGACCAGGATAAGGCACTTTCCAGTTAAAACTCAAGCAGAGAGGCTGGGCAAAAGAAAAAGACCAAGTGTATGAGGCACAATTCATGAGGAAGGAGACTGCAGGAGGAGCAGAGCTTGCTGAGGATGGGTTTTAACCACTGATCCTGACTCACCTTCCACACAGCCCCAGAGAGCCAGAGAATGGGCTCAGTATTTAGAAATGACAGTAATTTTAAGGGAAGTTACATCTAAATGGCTTCATGCTATTGAAAAGAGCACAATAATCTATATATTTTATATAAAAGAAACATACCTGAAATGGATATTTATTTTGACAGGGAATAATGCCATCACTTTTTACAACTTCTACACATTTAATCCTTGAAATATCCACAGATCCTTTTCTGTACTTTTTCTATAAGAGAAAAGCAAAAAACATTATGTAAAAGATAACCAATTTATCTAATTCTCTTTTTTTTCAGCAGAGACTTCTTGCTTCCTTTTCCACTCATAGTAGTGATGCTGTTTTAACTGCAGAAGTCAATGAGAGAGGGAGGGTGTAAAGACTTACACTTGTGAAAGCCCAGTGAGTACAGTAAAATTGCTTAAGGAAAAGCACCACTTCTTATACAGAAAGTTTCCAATCAGTTGTAATCATAGGTTTAATCTACTCTTCTTTACAAAAACTAGCTGGAGTACAGATGAAGGAAGGCTTCCCCCTTGCTGATTTTAAATTATGATTAAAACTGAGGTTGCAGGGCAGAGAGGCAATACACATTGGGATTTTTTTATCCACAATTGCAGAAATTCCTTAGAGGAACACAGTTTTTTCCTTTATCTGAATCACCCTCCTCCAAGGCTCAGAGATTTTCGAGCCAAATCTGGCATTCAGTGCGTGCTCACTCAAACAGAGGGTACAACTGCCAGGAGGACAAAGGACAGGAATCCAGCTAAGTAATCATCTGACATTTGGGGGGGGATAAAGGAAAAACCCTGATACACAGCACATCATTCTAGTATTTCCCAAGTTATCTTTTTGTACACTTTCATGATTTAAGGTGGCTCAGTTTGCTTCACCACAAGATGCTAAACTAAGCCAACTCAAAGTTGACCCATCTTACAACTCAATCTGGCAAATTAAGCTTAACATCAGAGAAGATTCTTCTACTTTTTCATACTTTACAGATTTTAAAAAACCTTACATATGTGAAATTAAGTACAAATCTACTGCTCCAGACAGGTTTCAGATTATACCAGAAGCAACAGGTATTAATGGCCACCAGACCTCAAATTGCCAAGTGTGCAGCTGTGTTTTAGCTCAGCATTACTCACCAGTAAACTATGGGGCACAGAAGCAGGAAACAGTGACTCAAGAAAAATGTTAAGGAGACTGCTGTAATTCCTCTCTCACCCCTTCTGAAATGATTTGCCTTTATAATAGGGCCTTCCACACCATCACTGTTGCATTTATTCTACAAACCAAATGGTTTGCTCTAGACCCAGGCATACAACAGACATGAAGTGCAGAGTCAAGGGAGAGCTCAAGCCATGAAGCAATTGGGAAGTAGAGGTGTGGACATGAACCAGCCCTGAGAAATTCACCTAAAACCACTCTTCCCAACAGGTGACCTCTACTACAAAGAGACAAAATTAGTACAATGGCTAATAATACAATGCCAAACCATAGGAGGCAGAGGGACATTTTTAAGGGGTTATTTTGAGTTGGAAGATTGCCAGCCTAGTAGGAAAAGGTTAGATTCACTGTAGAACTAGCAGTATTCATGCATGTTGTCTGAACAGTTCACAAGTATTCACAGAGGATTTAGAAAAATCACAACTCAGTGAAAGCAAAGGACCTTTCAAAGCTGGTCTGCTCCTTTCCAGAATATAAATATATGCCTCTAGAGGGAGGCCTATAGAAGCAAACATGGTTAGAACAGCAATAAAGGTATAAAAGTGCTATATCCCAATAAGGATAACAAATAGGTAGAGTATGTGCTTCAAAGACACACTAAAGGTTGGGGTTTTGTGGTTTGTTTTATTTTCTAATGTATCTGCTTGCTGAAAATAACAAAAGGGAAGTGACAATACAGAAACTACTATACAAAGCTTCTCAAAATGCAAAATGCCACACATAATTTCAAATTTGCCAATGCTTAAAAAAATTGATTTACTACAGAAACTACTATACAAAGCTTCTCAGAATGCAAAATGCCACACATAATTTCATATTTGCCTATACTTCAAAAAATTGATTTATAGTTTTAGAAGCCCTGCCCCTTGCTCACAATGGGGATGGACAGACCAGGCAATAAGTCTTGTTTCCATGCAATCCAAAAAGAATAAGCTATTCCTACTTTTTAACATAAAACCCAGTAATATCAAGAAGTCATAACACTAGACCTCCATTGTCAGATCTGGAAGAAATATATGATTACACAATTCCTTTCCACCCAAAAAAATAAATCTTAGAATACAAGAAGCCAAGAAATATCTAAGAAGAAATATATGATTACACAATTCCTTACCACCTAAAAAAATAAATCTTAGAATATAAGAAGACAAGAAATATCTATGTGTTAGATTAGTGTAAAATCAAACAGTTCATCCTCTGTACATGTGGAGTTACTCCTCTGCTGAATATAGCAGCTTTACACCTTAAGAAGCCCATATTCTATCAGATAAAATTGTTTCTTCCATGTGTTTCCTCTTTACTAATGAAGATATTATGCTGCTTACTCTCAGAAAAGTGGGGTTGTGGGGTTAAACAGTGCAAAGGACATTACATTTGGGGAAAAAAACTCAATGAAAACATGCAGAAGTCAGCCTGGCTGTCAAGAAACAACTAGATTGTCTCCCCCTCTGCTGTCTCTTTCTTTCTTTGTTGTTCATATTTCTTTCTCCCATGCTGACCCCTGTGTAGGAAATCCTGAGGTCATCAGCATGTGACCCATGGAACTTATGTTCTCACAAGTACAGCAGGTCGCAGCATTACTGACATCTCCTTTTATGGAACTGCTCTGCAGCTTTACAAAACCCCCAAAAGCCTGGCCAAGCCAACATTGCCTATAGAGAATTTCTCTGGTAGGGTGTACTCCAGAGCCAAATGTAAGGGTATTTTGTGGGGTAGAGGGGTTTAGGGCTTTTGGGGGTTTTGGGGGTTTTTTCATAGTCTTGCCCTTTAGCAATAGGAGCACTGGATACTGCTGCAGTTCCCTCTTGAGGCATTTTCTGATTACTGATTATGCAAATATAATTACTGCAGCCAGTTGTTAGATGGCCACATTTTCCATCCCCATATTTTCCAGTGTGTCAGATATGTTGAAGAATGTTCTGATTCCTTTAAATTAATTTTTAAATTATTATTTTAAAAAACAAACAAGTATCAAGTATTTCTTGTTACCTTCCAAAACGACTAGGATTGATATAGAAAGCAAGAGGTGATTCCTATTCTGATCTAGTCTGACCTGATCCAAGATCTGACTCCCGGGAAGAATTTCAAGGGGAAAAAAATAAAAACACAAGGAGAAGAAGAAAATTTTAAACCCTATCTTGCAAATTAAGAAACCGAGAATCCATTACCATGGTCTGGCTGCTCAGTAGGTGTAAAACACCAGCACTGGAGAAACCAAAAAGCACAAAGATAAATTCTCCATCATAACACCGATGCCACTTCCTAACCATGACTACAATAATTTACTCTTCTCCCACAATGAGAGGCAAGCAGTCAAATGTACACAACTGCAGTTATCATACATTGCTGAACAACCTAAGAGCAAAGGACACAAAATAAATCAGCCAAGTCTCCATCCGCATCAGGCCCGAAATAACCTACAGCCTTTCAAAGTAACTAGCACATCACTTCAGGTTCTTTCAGACAAATCTTGTCTTCTTGGTTTTCTGTGAAGTCCTCACAGCGCTCTGAGTCTGCCCAGCCAGTTGTAGCACTTCTGCCCTGATTCTCCCCTCTCAGGGACACCACTCTGTCTGCTGGGTGAGTAACACCTCACATGCAGCCACTCACCTACCACAGCCTTCATGCTGTCTGAACACTGGTCTCGGACAACTTGGGCCAAGGAGGGAGGAGAGCCCAAGTCCACAGGCATCACACATGTGTGATCAGAGCCCAAGACAAGACCCAAGAGGTCATCTACCCAAGGCAACAGCTTTATTTACTTTCCAAAGGTTCAGATTATGAACTCCACAACTACAGAGCTGAGATGGGAGTTTTTTGTCTTTGGAGATTCCTGTCCATCACCAGCCCATCTCTCTGCTTTAAACAATGGCTTCTCCACCAACCAATTCTTCATTATTGTTTTTAGGAAACCTCATCCTTCCTGCTATTTCTGCTCTGAATTTCAGAGGCAGGGCCACATCTTCCTTGAAAATCACTGCCCCAAACCAGATGCAGCACTCCAGCTGATGCCTTATCATCTGATTATAAGGATTCAGAGTCCTATCCAAATGTAACATTTCCCTTTTTCACAGAACAAGGTATCATTGATGCATACCCAGTTTACGAGTTGCTATCCTGTCACTCAGGTCCTGCTGGGGACAGCCTGACATTTGGC